GTTTTGGCCAAGGTTATTGAGAGAGTTGGACTGAAATGTATTAGATTTTTTAAATCAACTGTTGGTAAATCAACAAAGTCTGTTATGGCCTCTGAAGCAACAGAGAGATGTTTTCTAATAGTCAGGGTTTCCAATGTTCTGAATGTACTTGAAAGTATTGTGTTATACTTAAAAAACAAAGTGTTATAGTTTACAGAAGGTCTACCTACCTATAGGCTACCTGAATCTCTGAAATGTACTATATTCCTAAATATGCTATTGCTACACTTTATGGCAAAAATTGCACTTTTCTGTTGGTCTTGGTTAAGTACATCCTTGAAAAAAATAAACAATGTTTTGTTGCTTAAGCTTATGTATTCAGTCATTATTCAATGGTATACTAAAATCCATGTGAAAAAAATTGCTTCTCACTGTTCTCAGGTCAAATATTTACATGTGATAAAAAATGCGATTAATTGCGATTAATTAATTACAAAGCCTGTAATTAATTAGATTAATTTTTTTAATCGAGTCCCGGCCCTAATTCAAACATGATTCTGCTCTGTTAGAGGCACAGCATGAGGAAAACCAAATAGCCCATAGGGCGTTTCTCAATGTCGAGGAGGCTTGCTTGGTAGCACATGTACCTCCGAGTCAGTTGCTTCAGAATCGAAGCACGAATCCTTCCTAGCCTCGGAAAATGAAGGATTGTGGAACAGGCTAACAGCTGTGCGTCATATGCGAGGCCCCGCATTAAATGGAGCACGATTTCCGCCGAAGACTTGGAAATTGGTCCGTGCGCAAAGCATTGTGGGGATTTTAAGACCGCGGAGTCTACACATGTGCAGCCTCGAAATTTCTCGCTACGAAGTACACCAGGCTCGGTAGAATTCCAAGTATGCTGGACATTGGAACAGTCTTTCGGCGGGACTCGATGACTTAGTATCCTTGAAATAGTGGCTCTCGAGCAGCTTTCCTCAACATTTCTGGAATAAACACATGCGTTTTTATTTCCCAGCCTGCATCTCCAGGCCTCTGCTCTTTGCCCTGTAGACCAAAATAGACACAGAGCTACTGTACTGTATATTGAGACGGCGGTGACTAATCTATAGTGCACGTTTACAGTTTATGTGACATCAGTGATCTGTGCCAAATGGTGCCCAGCATGACCATATGTCCTGTCACAGACACAGGGGTTACTTGGGGCCAAAATTGATGTGCTTATCACTGACACCTAGCAGGTCGGCCATCTGCAGCCGGGACTGGAACCATGAGGGCTGTCGACACAAGGATGGGGAAGATTTGGTTTAACAAATGACCCTTTTTCAGGTATTAAGAGTGAGTATTTGAAATAGAATAGAGATCGAACAGAACTATTGAAATGCTTTCTTAGGTTTAGATCTTGGCAACATGTATGATTAGTAAATAAGGTTATCAAATAAAGTACCAGGAAATAAAAATACTCAAGTAAAGAACAAGTAGCTCAACATTTAACTAAATTACTTGAGTAAACTTTTAGTTACTGTATTAAGCTACCTTAATTTTAATGACCTCTGCTAGAATTATACCTACGATTTTTATCGTAATAATGTTTCAGCCCTGTGATGGACTGTAAACCTGTCCAGGATGTTTCCTGCTCCTCTCTCAGTGCATGGTGGGAGAGGCTCCAGTCCCATAACTAGTTTAATAAATGGATGGATAGATAAAGTTATATTTCCATACTGACAAATGCATTTTGATAATGTTTTCGTGATAAGACATCACCTCAATCAGGACATTATAATTCATTTTCCCTGACATTAGTACAGAGTGTTAGGAAAAGGTGTCTCAGTATCCGTCTCAGCTCCTCACTCTGGGTGTGATTACAGTGGGCAAGGTAACACTATATAAATGCACTTTCATGTTTGATTTTCAGACATTTATTTGTGCTACTCAGTCATAATTATAACTGCGAGGACACTTGTTAATCAAGAAGAAAGATTCTCATTGATTTGCCCCACTGGGTGGCCTTCAGTCAACAGACAACTTCCCCTCCTGCATGAGCAAACAAAAAGCTGACGACCATTTCCCCCCCGTGGCGACTTCCTGTGACCCGGCATTATAATATCAGACAGGCAAGACCCCTGACCCTCCCCCACTCTGAATTAAATATCTGCATTTTCTTCCTGACTGAGCCATCATCTTACCAGCGGACTGCTGAAGGCCACATCGCTCGGGGCACTTCCCGTGACCCGGCTCTTGCGTCGGTTGTCATGGTGATGTTGCATTTCTTCTGGGTTGGTGTCCTCAGCGTGCAGAGACCATCCCGTCTGAGAGGGTTGAGGTCTCTGGTTGAAGATGACCTCCTCCCCTGACTCCGGCTCTTCAAGGACAGCTAAGCGGATCGCTGCAAATCATTAAAAAAAAACATGTTGATACAGTAAGTACTTTAAATCATTATCATGTGTACTGTTAGGTTAAGTCATTATCTAATGCAGAGCCCTAAACCTTAATGGCAGTGTCAAAGGTCTTTAAAGATCTTTAAAGAGTTAGTTTATGCCCCAATGGTCTTGCTTGTTTGAAATGAATATGTCAGCACTTTTCCTGTTGTCCTTAGTTTGAATCTGTATGGTTTATTGCATTTAATTGTCAGCTTTGGCTAAAAGGAGCAGCTACATGCAATGTAATGTAATGTAGTCTGGATTATACAGCCACATCCAGGTCGAATCAAATCCTCACACAATTACCCTAAATTGGCATTATAATGCTTATTATAAATGTAAATTCTGTTTCTATAGAGGTCTTAACTGAGCGCATGAATGCTTATAAATTCAAAGTCAAATCAGAATGAAGCGAGGCCGCACAAATATGGAAGCTACAAATGTATGTGCCTACGATCAGGACACCACACACTATACAGGTGTATAAAAAGAGATACAATATATTGATAAAAGTCTCCAATGTGTGCCTTAACATAACTCCTTTACATGTGTTCTCCCTTATCAATGTAAATATAAAAAATAATCTTGGCACTGATTCACATGTGCAAGACAAAGAAACAGAGCAGATCATCATCATAAAATCATGACACAGCACAATTAAGTTTCACATCAGAGCCAACCAGGAAGTGCACATCAGGTGATCAACTGTTAAACAACTATGGATCAAAACACACTAGTAATCAGATTAAAGTCTGAAGCCAGGTGAGAAGCCATGGGAGACTAAAACAAAACAGGATAGACGAGACATTCATTCTTTGACTTTTACTCTCCTAGTCTAGCCAGGAGAAAGGTTTTGTTCTTAGATCAGATAATATAAGATGACATATGTTAAAAAAAGATAAGATAACAAAAGAAAAAATATATGTTATTGTCCCAGGGGAAATCTGTCATGGACACATATCTGTTGTTTAAAGAATTTTAAAAAACATAGTGCAAACTATCAAAGCTGACTTTTGCATGCCAACACTTTGTTGCGTCTGAAATTATTTACAGAGTAGACTGAGAATTGGCACACTAATGTCAATGGAGCATATAAAAAATGTGGATGGAGGTATTATTGATTTAGATGTTAATGTTTGAAATGATGTGGTTAAATTATTCTTAGAATGCATTGATTTTTTTCATGCTGTGTTCATGTGTTTTTTTATTTCATCTCTGTAATCAGGTTTTGCTTGCAAATGAGATTGCTATCCTAATGTGACTTCCGGATTAAATAAAGTATAAATAGTCTAACATTAGCATATTCACATATTAATGTCCTATTACGGTAAGTGACGTGCTTTCAGTTAGTATGCTGAGTAATAGTATGCCAATGTGTTTCAGTTTTCATGATTGTATTAATAAAATCACAGGGGGCTTATGATGAAAAGCAGTGCTGCAAAAGCTGTTTTTCGGTACGAAGAATGTGATCGTGAAGGTTTACCGTTCTCTTTGTGTGGGTACTCGGTGCCAATAATGGAGCATCTACGAAACACCATCTTGTTCTCAGTGAGGGTGCCAGTCTTGTCTGAGAAGATGTATTCAATCTGTCCCAGATCCTCCGTGATTTTCAGGGCCTTACACTGTACTCGGCTGTCTGTCTCCTCATCGTACAGATCTGCATCATTAGTGATGAAGAAGATCTGACCAATCTTCACCAACTCTATGGACACGTAGAGGGAGATAGGGATCAGGATCTGAAGGAGAGGAGAGGAAAGGAGAGGAGAGTTAATTAAGAAATGAAGGAAAGCCCAATAAACTCTCTTTCATAAATATAGTCAGATTGTTCCACCTGCAGCAGGATGATCATGGTAAAGAACATGTAGAAGCCAGACAGACCGGGACTGTCCAGGTGACCATTGCTGTCTGGGACCAGATAAGGGGGCACATCCGGGAACTCCTCCAGCCATAAGAAGTGACCTGCAAGTGTGAGGACAAGGGAATAAATACAGCAACAAGTGCAGGAATGAAAACTATTTTTGGCACACTTTGGCCTGTCTCCTTCCTGTTACCCTTGTGTGGGGTAGGCCTGTGGCTGAAATTGATGAGGTTTATTCTTTTCTTTTTATTTGATATTCATTGTCCCCTCATGTGTAGAAATGCCAATCATTTACCAACCTGTTTAGGGATTTCATGGTTTCGTTATTTAATTGATTACTGACCTACTGATCCGACGAAACACATGGAGAGGAGGAGAATGACGCAGAAGATGACGTCTATGTTCAGCTTACGCTCTAGTTTGCTGCGCTTGTATCTTGGCCCATTGTTGTTGAGCATTGACTTGGTTTCCTGACCTAACAACAGGATAAAAAGGTGTTGATTTAGTTAGCATCAGGCACTAGATATGGTCAATTGAATTTGACAGAAAACAGAAGATAAAAACAGGGCACTCCGACACTAAATCCAAACTGTCTACAATATTTCAGGAAAAGTGGGGGATTATTATAATATACACATTAAAGAAGTTTTGAAGATGTGCATATTTTTACTCATATCAGTATGCATCTAGGCATTGAAAAATGCTTTTCTCACAGCTGATATTTTTGAAATATATAAAAAAGACAGGTGTTTCTAACAGTAACATGGCTCTGTTCTAATCTAATCAAGTGACTCAATGAAAGTAAAACTAAAATATGTGTTGCTCCTTGAGGATAAATCCTAAACTGACATTGATGATCCTCTGACTTCTACATCCAGCAGTTCAAACATTTTTCTTAAAAAACTAAAATAATTGGTGAATATGCTTTGGTTGATGACCAAATACCTTAAAACGAATTAGCCTTAGTTAAGTGCTAATAAATAAATGTTAGCATGCTAACATGGTCAACTTACATGGTAGGTCAAAGCCCCACTGTGCCTTATTACAGCTTCACAGTACCACTTTCATAGAATTACACCCACCCTTGTTTGACTAAACTTGAAAGTCACATTAAAATGAGAGAAATGTAGTGCCCAACAACAAAAATCACTATTATGTAGGGCACAGACATGTAACTGAACATTTAAAAGCTGGGTGGGGCTTCATGCGAGAACAGACATTTGAACTTATGACCTCAGTACTTTTAAAGTCCTGGGCCCTGCACAAAGACACTAAAAGCTCAAGGTCAAAGCAGCTGAGAAAGTGGGGAATATACCTGCATACACCACGAAGCCAACAGCGTGGTCCGTGTTCTTCACTGTGCATCCTCGCAGCAGCAGACTCTCTATTCCTGCTCCCACCTTCTCCTTATCAGGTTTCTCTCTGCAGCAGGAGAAAGTGAGAAACCTCCTTTGTCAGATCTTGCTAGATATTCATTACTGCTTATATATTCCTATTAGCAATTCCCCTGCATTATGGCTATAGCCGGACAGCATGAGTAGACCAGCTGTAAGAGCTGTGGTGCCCGAGGAAATCGATTATAGTCTATTACAGCCCCAATAATGCCTCTGGTGGCATCACAAAGTGCAGCGAGTGGGCTGGAATTAGTTTTGCTCGGCTGCTCTGAAAAGCATAAAGAACTGTGATCCGTGTATTTGATACTCACACATAACACTTGAAATGATTCAGATTGTTGTTGGGCCTTTCACACACCACAACGCTGTTGAAGCTTTCAGGTTCAAATTCTGGATCCTGGAAATGAGGTATTATTATTATTATTATTATTATTATACATAATTTTCTGGGAAGAAAGTCATTACAGTTTGAATGGAAACTTTTTAAAAGTAACTAAACCTGTACTTCGAGACAAACGTGATGATTCTAAGGTATCTACAGGAAAGACACCAGTCCAAAAATATGCCTATAAAATATGTAAACTAATCCAACAGGTATGTGTCACATGTCTTGCATCAAAGGCTTTACCTGGATGTTCAGGAAATGTTTTTTGTTTTTTTATGTGTGTTCAAGGTCAATCCCAAAAGAGAAAGGTGAGGCAGCACAGGGTGAACAAGGGTAAAAGACAGTGAAGAGAGCAAAGAAATTAAACTAACCGAGACGCAGACGCCTGACACTGTCCTCCTCGGCTTCAGGTTGGTCTCTCCATCGAGGTTGGACGTCTCTATGTGACACACACCGTTGGGGTCTGATGTGTCTAGGAGCAGGAGGTCTGCAGGGACAATCTCATTGGAAAACACCTTCACAAAATCTCCCACTTGCACCTCCTTCCAGCTTCTCTCCGAAAACTGTTTCTCTCTCCTGAAATCAGACATGTCAGATACCAACAGTCATTGCAGATTATTTCATCAAGATAAACAAGCCCCTGGGTGGCTTTTACATTGATTTTTTTGTGTCACATTTATTTACAATATTGGCAGAGTGGGTGTATTTTGTCTATGTTTATACAATAAAATGAAATATTGACTCACTCCTTATGGATACAAAATCCCAGCAGCTGCTTAAATTAGGGAGTAAACAAAACAACCAAATGAAAAATCAATGCTGTTGTTTTTGGAGAGCGGCCCACATGTGATTTGTGTGCTTTGGAATAGGGAAACTTTTAGAGGAAGACACACTGCACCACACATTATGAGCTCAGGCCATTCCCAGGCATCCCAGAGAGCCACATGCTTTATGGTTATATCCTGCATGTCAAGCTGCTTAACCACCAGTGACAGAGAGCTGCAGGCACGCTGCCCTGCATGTAGGACCTGATGGGTTGGCTGCCACATAAAACCACACCTCGCCTCAAACAAAGCCAGGAGGAAGGGGGAGTATTTTTAATATGTTCTGTTTGGATGGCCATGACAATCTTTATGTGTACCAGGTTTGGCAAATATTTTCTCCTTTCAGAAAGGCTTTATGTACGGCTTCTGTGTGACAGGCAGTTTCCAGTAATAGGAGTCAATGTGTCAACCACATTGCATAAAGCAGCCTACATTTCCTCGACATGACCTAAACATTGTTTAAATGTATGTTAATAAGCCTACCCATAATTTGACATTTGTTGAAATAGGATTATTTAATTTCTTACCCGGGGGTATAAGAAGTGTGAAACCATTCTTATGTCTGCAACGTTATGGTTAATATAAAACTAAAGCCAGTTAGCCAGCTTAGATAAAAGAAAAACAGTGGGACATCTAGTCATGCTCTGTCAATGATAACCTTTGTATCTCAAAAGCTCACTTGGATTGGTTGACATGAGTTTGAGATAAGATACCATAAAGATAATGCACGTTTTTATCACAAACAGTTTACACCTCTTTTGAGACACCATGAAGGGTGATGTGAAATAAGACGTTTAGTCTCTGACAGCCTTCCATTTGGACTTTTACATGCTCTGCAAGATGTGCTCCTTGCGCCATGAGATATAAACTTCACCAAGAAAAAAAGAGAAAGTGAGTGTAAGTCTAACATTTATTCTTGAGCTTCTTCTAGGAACAGTTGTGTTCTTCAAAGAAATCCCAGCCAATCGATTCTGTTCTAATCTTTACAAGCCCAAAAATTAGCTCCAGCATCCCCACCCAGCGAGCAACAACGAGAGCCCCCTCGCCACGACTCAACTGCTGTTTATGTGATTGCATGAGGCAGAAAGGACTAGTGTCCGCTAACAGGCCGCGAGGGACTGGTGCGTTCACGGGAATTCTGCATCTGGGGTCTCCACCTGCACCCGCACACACACAAACCTAAACCCACACACATGAAGCAGGCTTTCCTCCAGCTGAGGCTGCACTTATCAACATCCCAGCTGACTCTTTTGGGAAATTTGAAAGCAAGCAACCGCTGCCTGATGCCTAATGCTAAACCCTTCCAGAGGTTGAATGTGTAAAGATTCATCATTGGAGTTGCCTCCAGTCTCACATCATATCGTGAGGGAAATCCATATCCCTCCTCCCCTTCTACTCCCTAATCACAGCCGCAAAATGGTTGAAAATGACAGTGTTTATCCACCTTTGTGAATTATTCATTTTTATTCACCAGTAATTCAAAAATAGATAACCGCTAACCCTACTGTCTTTTCTGACGCAACACCCAGATGAGGATTTCATCAAATGTGCACAATGCTATTGTGAGAGAAATTGTTATGAGGCTCTTCAAAAGAGGAATAATTTCCCACACAGTTTCTATTTCTAAGTCAAAACATTCTCACGGGGTGAGTATCTACACACTCACACAGACAGCAACATGCTGGATGATAAGAATCGCACACACAGATGTGGGGGTGCTGTTAATGCACCATGAGTGTTTCCACTTGCTACATCATGCATGAACAGCACGCTGTCTATATTTAGGACATGATTGTGTGTGAGTCAGTTACCTGCTGTATATGAAGCACGGCGTGTTGTTGCGCTTCCTGTCAGACTGGTACCTCCTGAAATCCTCCCAGGCGTCCTTCAGTGCCGTCAGAGTCATGATGACACAGATGGGGATCAGCGCTACCTCTGGCTGGAAGGCGTTCACTACAGGGACAAAGTTCAGGATGGCCAGGCCAACAAAGTAGATGTTGGCCAGACGGTGAAACTGCTCAAAGAGGTTCATGGGGATGAAGAGGAGGAGGGTGTATTTGGTGGTTTTGATGGCGTTGCCAGGGAAGAAGCGATTGGGTTGCTTCGCCTTCTCCAGGCCCTCATAAGGCAGATTGGACGCAAAGTTGCGGAGGTCTTTCTCCCGCGCCCTTTGACCTCTCAGAGCCTCCCTCACCAGGGCCAGAGGGCTCCTCCACGTCATAGCTGCTTCTTCTTTTCCACTTCTCAACAACTTTTCCTTCTCATCCTCTCAATACGTACAGCTCCTGTGAGTTGAAGAGACTCTCCTCAGGTCCATCCTCTCCTTAAAAGAGTGTGTGTGTGTATGAGAGAGAGGCCTAATGCCAGGTTAACTCAAGTGACAGCACACCTAGTGCTAGTCTGAGTCCGCCCCTTGCATTGACAGGTGTGTTTGCATTCTTGCCCTGTCATTGTTCTAGCTTCTCCAAATTACTTTGCTGTCAATCTTAATATAGCAGTTTGTTTAACCAGTTTTTAACTATTAAAAATAGTCGTTTAAATTGTAGAATCACGAGGCGGTGAAGTGCATTGAATAATTATCATTACAATAATGAATAATACCATATTGTCCAAAACAATAGAAACACTAATACTGTATATGCACAGCTGACAATCTGATATTTGCAGGGCAGAACATTGGTGCAGTGGGTCATAAGGAGATGTGAACTGACAACACAACACCGAGCGGAGCGCAACAACTGCTCGGGGCAAATGTATGTGAAGAGTTTACAGCGTGAATGAACGCAGCAGAGGGAACATACACAGCGCCATTCACAAGTATACAGATAGAGAATTAAATCCACTTAAAGACACTGAAGATTATAATAAGCAATATTTATTGGGGCATGTCAGAAAAGACCCTGTTTATTCTCCCCTCATCCACCGACAGGTCACTGGTAAGCCTGCAAATAAAACAACCTTTGACAAAAAATGAAAGGGTTCGAAATGGACCGTGATTATAATGCATTAAGTGATTGTATGTGTTAACATGTATGTGTTTGAGACCCTCATGTATGATGTACAACAAAGAAACAGCTTTTTGCACAGATGGCATGCATGTAGGATGCCTTCCACTTCCTCATGTTGGCATATGTTGTCTTTTCCAGAGCAGGCTTGAAGTTTAAAGTTTAAACAGGCCAAATTAGCACCAGGTGACTCATGTATTGTAGTTCAATTTAAAATCCAGCCAGTAATAGCCATAGTAATTGGTACTACAGTATTTGTACCTGGTTAGCAGAGAGAGGCATTATTGTGAAAGTGCCTCCAAATGAAGACAGATGGACCTTTATTGTCTTTTTTAACGGATGCCATGCTCGACCTTGCAGGTGATTTATCATCAATCAAAAACATTTAAATGATTTCCTGTGTTGTCCTTGAACAGCTGACACAGTTTTTTTTTTAAATCTCTGCTTGGTAGCTCAGCTTGATTTTCCATCCGTTACATGTGTAGCGGGGGAGTGGCGTGACGAGACTCACCCTCTCACCCGTCCCAGTCAGTTCTGGCTGGGTTTGGGTTGGCTGGCACGCCGACTGCACAGTGCCGCAGCTGTGAGTGAACACACACACACACACACACACACACACACACACACACACACACACACACACACACACACACACACACACACACACACACACACACACACACACACACACACACACACACACACACAGCAGAGGTCTGTGCATTCCTAATTACTCCAGTGACATGGAAACACTACAAAGTATAAAGCATCTGCCTTTCGCCCCCCTCTTCCATTTCAACACAAATGCACTTTTTGAAAGGAGCAAAAGAGATAGAGAGACAGAGGGCCAATTTAGCACACACCATCTGTGGATATTACATCTGTTTAAGTGAATGGGAACAGAAATGTAGAGCTGATTTTTACCAATGATTGGAGGAACCTGAAAAAAGGGATCACCATGTTGCATTACATCCTTTTTACACATCTTAGCTTTTTCTTTAGATTATTTTGCATTTAAAGTTTTTTTCACAGACCGACACACAAACATCACCACTGTCTTTTTCTCATCTTAAAAAAACCTCCAGTATAAAACCCTCCACACTATTACCCTCTCTGTGTTACATTTCCATTTGTCCTCCATTTTCCTGAGCTCAAAGTCCCCTCCTGTTTATTCAAGGCTCTTTTTGACTGAAATCCTAATTTCCTGCTTTTGCTCATATTTCCGATTCATGATGTTCCTCCAACATTTCCTCCCTTACAGTAAAAAACATACTCCATTTGTTGGTCTGATTGTGTTCTTCTGGCTCTTTAAGTTCAAAGTCAAACATTAGCTTCACACCAGTCTCTGCTAGAACAAAATCCCTTTTTAAATATAAAAAATGCAGTGTTTTGCACCATCAAATATGCAACAGCATCCATTTAAGAGCTGTAACAGTGGTCAGGTCAGAAAGGGAGTGTAGTGCAGAGTGCAGTTGGTGTGCTGAGAGAGGGGAGGATGCAGGTCGAGGCAGGTAGAGATGGATGGCTCTCTCGCCTTTTATTTTCTTCTCTCGTCCATGGCAGCCAGCGGGCCACTGTTGAGTCTGAAGAGTGCCTCCATATCCATGGCTCTCTGCGTTAATGTCCCCTGAGGCTGGGGTCTGCGCTCGGCCCCGCTCAGACCCCAGCAGAGCTCAGACCACCGCTGCGGCCCCTCGCTCCGACTCCTCCATCCATTATGCAGCCAATAGTCCCCAGCTGCAGCCCTTACATCGCTCCATTCACCCCTACATTTGCTGCCCTCGCTTGCCCACTCTCTCCCTGTGTCGGGTTTAGTTGTTCACTCACTCATTCAGACACTCAATCAGCCGTGAGCACGAGTCCTTCCTCATGAACAGCCGCACATTCATCCAGGACGTATAAAACCGCCAGCCGTGTACTCTGTTATTGAAGTGATAGACTGAATTGAGTTTTAATTGAATTTAGATACATCTTCATAATTGCTGACAATCATTACACAAGATATTTACAGTCATTATGAAATATTACAATTGGAATTTACAGAAACTTTGTACAAAATATGCCTGACTTCAATGCCTGGATAGTGGGGTCCTTGTTTAGCCATTTCTGGAGAACAAAACATTGACCCAAAAGTCACTGGTGTCTGGAAGTGCTTTAGTTTCAGCAAGTAGATGCTTTTAGAGTCCATTAAAAAGAAAGAAAAGAGAGAAAAATTCCAAAAAGTACAGAGTCAGCAAAGTTGTGAATTGTGTTTTTCTTTTTCCTCAGTTAAATTGCTCTTTTTCTTTTTTTTTGACTGAATGGAACATTTGATCTGTAATTCAACTGCAAAAACAACAACAGAGACCCATTTAAATAGAATAAATCCATAATATTTACACAATAATGTGAGTATTGATTTATAAAAATGAATTATGTCTTTTTCTTTAAACATGATTTATGTTTATCTACAGTTTTTCAAAACAGAAACCTAATCACAATGAAACGCATCATACTTCTATCATTCAAAACTACTGATAATGATGATTGTGGATTGCGATATTTATGCAGCAACTCTGGTTGCAATGAAACTCAGCTTATCTGTCAGCAAAGTTCTTACACCAGCTTGAGTCGTGTTGAAGCCATTCTCCCCCTCTGAAGCTCCTCACGATGGCAGAAAGTACGGAGGAGTCAAATGTTCTCTTTAGAAAAATAACACGTGGTGAAATGGACTTTGTCAGCACAGCAAAAGCAAAACAAAACTTGGCCAAAGCGGCAGTGTTCAACAGTCCCGCTCTTTCACCGGACAACATGAGACCTTTAACAACTGAGGAAGCTTCTTCTGTTCAGCATTGGCACCATTGAAGCCCCACAGGGATGTCCAGAGAAAAGAGCGCCCCCTGTTGTCCAGATGTTGTCACCCAGCGACTCTCAAACATCCACCAAGGGGGCCGTCCTAAGCCAAAACTGCAATAAAAATAACTGACAGACTAACCTCAACTAGTGAAATTAAAATGCTTTGCGCTCCTTCATTATCATGACTGAGATGCAAATGAAATCAAACATAAGCATGCTTTTAAAGGATGTTTTTGATATACAGTAATTATAGGAAAATAGACTATCAAGGATGACTCCTTTAAAATCATTTATAAAGCTTTCCTGGATGCAGACAGCTCGGCTACGAAGTAAATAGATACTAAACAAAACAAATCCTTAAAGTATATGCAAACACAAGCATAAATATTTGATCCACAGAGAGTAAGCTACGAATGACAAATATTAGTGATATATTGAAATTCTGGAACAGGCACCATTTCTGTCTTTTTAAAAGTCGCTCTTCTTTTTCGAGTGTTTGTCAGACGTTTTAAGGTGTTTCCAAAATCCTAAAAGAGTCACTGCTGACTGAAGTGTTGGGTGCTGCTGCAGTCCATCCAAAAAGTCTTTGCATTCTCTTCAATTTTTCTAAAGTGAACCAGCTAAAAAGAGTTGGTGCACTGTTTATCCCTCATTCTTTCTCTCTCATCAACTTTCCATTATTACTCTCATCTAAATCCCCCTCTTCTCCCCCCCCCCCCTTCTTTTCAGGCTGGCCACCGGACGCCGCCGGGTTTTAATGGACGTAGTAGAGCCAGTAGACGACGTTGAAGAAGGAGAAGACGGTGGGGAAGATCATCCTGGACCACTTGTCGATAGAGTTCACGTCGGACAGGTCTGGGATATTCACCTTGAGCTGGGAGGCCCGTCTCCGTAGGCGGGACTTCTTCTGGGCGTGGCGCTCCAACGCGCTGTGGCCATAGTTCTGGCGGGCCATGGCTGCCCTGCGGTACTGCAGCGTCGAGCTATCGTAGGCCAGCATGGTGTTGCGGGGGTCTCCGGGTGCCCCCAGGCCCCGGGACAGATCTCCGCCACCACCCATCTCGTTCTTCATCTCCAGGGTGCTGAACAGGATGTTGTCGTCGGGAGTCATCTGTATGAGGGTGTAAAAACAAGTGGAGCCATGAGAAGTTACTGCCAAGAGGAAATCTAAAGGTCTTCAAAGTAACTCTAGCAAAATTACTATTAGCTACAAGGATAATTAGATCATTCACTGTGTAAATAATACTGATGAGGTGCTAGAATGGGTAATGCAAATGAGTCAAAAATTGTGTTACTTACAGTGACATTTTTTAAAGCACTTCAAATTATCATTGATCATCTGTCAATCAATATATGAGTGATAAAACAACCACAAGACTATGAGATAACATTCCTGGAAGAGCACAACATGCTCCACAAACTAATTGTC